AGCTACAGGTGTAGCCACAGCTGCCCCGGGACAGACTGACAGAAGCGAGGTTGCCATATCGCGCCATCAGCCCCTCTGGCCAACACCAGTAGGCAAAGCGTCTCGCCCAAGGACACAACAACCGAGACTGTCCGAGCCGGGGCTCGAACCGGCAACCTTCCGATTACAAGACGAACTCCCAACTCTTGAGCCGCGATCGCCCGGTGTTTAAAGTACTAAAGCACCCATCAGTAAGACTTTAACACCAGATTTAGTCCGAAAAGGTGTTTATTAAGGTGTCCTGATGCATGCTCGATCATCCATGTAAGGATCTTCCAGAAAGTTGATTGTGTTCTTTGGGCTGTTGTGTTCTCAGTGGGGGAAACATGTTGTCACTCAAAGTCTCTTCTTCAGTCTCAACTGACTTCTCGGAGTGTTTAAAGATAAAAGATGTTTCATAAAACTTTGATCTCATGAAAGTTTAAACTTGTCTGACCTTGAAGAAGAGGTCAAAGGTCAAAACTGATGTGATATTGGGAATCCCCTAATATCATTCACTATATGACGGTATGTTAATCAGTGTTGGGCAAGTTACTTTAAGTTAGTAACTTACTTACATTACTAGTTACTTCTATCAAAAGTAAATCAATTACTTCAAGTTACTCATTACTGTCAAAGTAACTAGTTACTAGGGAAAGTAACTTTGGTTTTACTCAGAATTCTCTTGTTAATGTGTTGCTGTGTAACTGGATACCCAGCCAAACTGCCAGTCTTCTAGCTTGCTTACGTACCACAAGTGCACTGTGCCACCTACCAATAGAAAGGAAAAGATAATGTGCATGTTGTTCATCTGCTGGTCTCCTCTTTCTAGCGCAAATTGGGCGATAAACAAACAAGAGAGCCGATCAGCTGATCATTGATCAGTTTCATGATTGAAGTAGAAACAGGAGAGAGGGGAGAGAATGAGAGAAGAAGAGGCAGCTGTGCAGCAAAGACAGAATAAATCCAGCTTTGTGTCTTTGTTTCATTGTAGCTGAAGTCCGGGACAAACTGCATTTCTTTTCAACTCAATATTTTCTCTGAATACAAGATGACTCCATTTTTAAGGGGCGGTTGGCAACTGTGCTAACTAACCTTATGAAAAAAATAAAGTTCAGTATCAGTAACATCATAGCGCCCACCCAGCTGTATAGAAACTCAGTCATGCTAGCTAGTACGCAGTACCAGTTATTGTAACTGACTGTAAAAAGTCAGCACAGCTAAAATAAACTCCACCTAAACTTGGTTTATATCTGACCCAGAGAGACTGCAGGTCATAACTTCTTACCTGAAGTTCAGTTCACCTGACACTCGGACCGGCAGCCTCCTCGGGTCGCTCCTCCTGCCTCCCCTTCCCTCATCCACCTGCTGGCTTCCACCACTTGCTAATGTTACTGAATCTGTGGAAGCTCCACAATAGCCACCGCGAGAAGTAACGAATAACAACTCTATCTAAATCTCAGTAATGATTAAGGAGTTCCTGATTTTGGCATAATAACTAGTTACCTTGCTCGTTAGCACAATAATAACGTAGTTACTGTAACACGTTACTTAATAACGCGTTAGTCACTACACTGCATATGAGATTTCAATCTGAAAAAATGTCCAATAAAAGAATAGCTATCAAATGCTCACTCACTGCTTTGATGCAGCATTCATGTTTGTTTCCCTCTTCAGGCGAATGTTAAACTGAGGCTGGTTAAATATGTTTTAACAGGAAGTTGAGCTGTTGCAACTGTTTCAGACAAATGAGGAGTGTAGAGGTGCTGTGGTGTTTGGAGGAGGGACTCCTTCAGTTACAGAAGTGAGGCGTCACAAGTTCCTGGTTTCCAGTGAAGAAGAAGAGAGGCAGCAGTGAACCATCAGAGCCTCATCATGAAAGTCCGTCACACTCTGTTCTGCTTCTTCTTCCTTTGTGAGTACATTC